CACCTTATTATACTTCCCTGTAAAATAATGTGTATATACAAATTTAAATTACGTTTTTTATTTCATTATTAAGTCTCTAGGTTTAAAAAATTTTTTTTTTTGGATTGAGTTATCAATATTGCACAATTAGTAAGATTTGGAAAATGAGTATAAAATTAATCAGAACAACACGAATGTAAATTTAGATAAATAACTAATTATAAGAAATAAAGTTTATTAGAAATATATTTCTATTAAAATGGATTTTTATTTTACTTCATATACCCTTGTGTGAATTTGGTTAGTGATAGAATTTAGCATCATTTTTATTCCTGTTTTTAAAAGTAGATGTTAGCTTTGAAATACCTCATGCAATATAAAAAGAGACAGGGATGAAGTTCTTTTTATGCCACTCAATACTTTAAACTGTTTACAAGTTACATGTCAAAAGCCATAGAGTGATCTAGCATCAAAAATGATTTTTTTTAAATGTTTTTATTAAGTTTATTGGGGTAACATCAGTTAATACAATTATATAATTTTCAGGTATACATTATAATTTGACATCTATATATTCTATTGTGTGATTACTACCCAAAGTCCAGTTTCCTTCAGCTACCATATATTTGACCCCCTTTACCCTACCTACCTCCCCTCTCCTCCCCCACCCGCTACCCTCTGGTAACCACTAGTCCATTGTCCATGTTCCCGAGTCTCTCCTTGTCCTGTTCATTTGTTGCTTTTAGGTTTATATCTCACATATAAGTGATATCATGCGATTTTCAACTTTTTCTGTCTAGTTTATTTTACTTAGCATGATTATCTTGAGGTCCATCCATGTTGTCGCAAATGGCAATATTTCATCTTTTCTCATGGTTGAGTAATATTTCATTGTATATATGTACCACAGCTTCTTTAGCCAATCATCTATCAATGATTGCAAACTTCGGCCACTGTGAATAATGTGAATCCTGGCCACTGTGAATAATGCTGCTATGAACATCGATGTGCAAATATCTTTTCGAATTAGGGTTTTCAAGTCTTTGGAGTTAAATAGAGGGATTGCTGGATCGTATAGTAGATCAATCCTTAGTTTTTTTGAGGAACCTCCATTCTGTTTTCCATAGTGGCTGCACCAATTTTCAGTCCCATCAGCAGTGTATGAGGGTTGCTTTTTCTCTGCATCCTCTCTAACACTTGTTATTACTTGTCCTGTTGATTATAGCTATTCTAACAGATGTGAGATGGTATCTCATTATGGTTTTGATTTGCATCTCCCTAATAGCTAGCATGTTGAGCATCTTTTCATATATTTGTTGGCCATTTGTATGTCCTCTAGGAAGAAGAGTCTGTTCAGGTCCTTTGCCTATTTTTGGATTAGATCACTTGTTTTTTTGTTATTGAGTTATATGAGTTCTTTGTATATTTTGGATATTAGGCCCTTATCGGAGGCATTGCTTGCAAATATATTTTCCCATTTAGATGGTTGTCCCTTTACCTTGTTGACAGTTTCTTTTGCTGAGCAGAAGCTTTTTAGTTTGATGTAGTCTCATTCATTTATTTTTGTTTTTGCTTCCTTTGCCTTTGAGGTTAAATTTATAAAATCCTCTTTAAGTCCAAGGTCCTTGAGTTTCGTGTCTATGTTTTCTTCTATGCATTTTATTATTTCAGGTCTTATATTCAGGTCCTTAATCCATTTTGAGTTAATTTTGGTGTGCGGTGATAGATGACAATCTAGTTTCATTCTTTTGCAGGTGGCTTTTCAGTTTTCCCAGCACTATTTATTGAAGAGGCTTTCCTTTCTACACTGTATGTTTTCGGGTTTTTTGTTGAACAGTATTTGCCCCTATAATTATGGATTTACTTCTGGACTCTCAC